ATATGAGAATCTAAGTTCTACAACTATTACTTTAACAACTTCAAATTCAGAGGGTATTCAGCAGCCTTTAGAAACCCAAGAAGTGATTGAAATAACTACTAATCATCTTGCTAGCCCACACTTTACAAATAATTCTGTGGAAATTAAGTCAGCGCAGGAAAATCCATTCATATTCAGCACAGTTACTCAAACAGTTGAAGAATTAAACACTGATAAAGAATCTGTTATTGCCATTTTTGTACCTACAGAAAATTCCAAACCTGCAATTAATTCTTTTATACCTGCCCCCAAAGAAACAGTAGAAATGAAAGAAGATATAGAGATTGAAGACTCATATAAGGATAAAGACTATGAGTCAGAAGTTTTACAGATTGAGCATTCTTACTGCAGACAAGATATAAATAAGGAACATCTTTGGCAGAAAGTGTCTAAACTACATTCAAAGATAACTCTTCTTGAGTTACAGGAACAACAAACTCTAGGGAGATTGAAGTCTTTGGAAGCTCTTATAAGGCAGCTAAAACAGGAAAACTGGCTATCTGAAGAAAATGTCAAGATTATAGAAAACCATTTCACAACATATGAAGTTACTATGATATAGATTAAGAGGTTTTCAAGTTTGTGGCTTTCGTGTAAGGTTTCTGTTAGCCAAACCAAATTCTGTGTGAAGTGAACTTTTTCCTGTGTAAAGTTCTTAACCTTAATGAAGCTAAGCAAGTGCTCTAATGTTATGAACTGCATCCTATTCTTGTTATGCTCATTTTTTGAAAACTAACTAAAGAGTTGTTGGGTAGATGACATTTCATTGCTTGTTAATTTTTCAAATTTAAAGTAAAAATATAGTGAATAAGTAATATGATTCAGTCATAAAATGAGAGAACACAGATATGGTAAACAAGAGCCCAGAATAGAAGTCAGGTTCCGGAATCAGTCGTGATTCTACCATTGAGATGTGTCTTGGACAAGTTACTTATTGAGTCCCAGTCTTTTAATTTGTAGAAGGAGGGCACTTAACTAGATCTCTTACATAGTCTGTTTCTTTGTAGTTTCTTCCCTTTCTAGAAGATAGTTTTAATGGAACAAATTTTCTGTATGATAATCTTATACTTACACAAAAGTGGCTAGAATTTTCTATTACCTGTTGAAATCGTCTCACTGTGTATTAAATTCTGTGTTGCTTGACCTTTGGGCTGTAATTGTTTGTATTATACAGCTTCCCTGTTGGCTCAAGCAGCAAGGAATCCACCTGCAGTGCAGGAGAGCCAGGCTTGATCCCTGGGTCAGGAAGATCCCCTGGAGAAGGGAATGGCAACCCACTCCAGTATTCTTGCCTGGAGAATCCCATGAACAGAGGAGCCTGGAGGTCTACAGTCTGTGGGGTCACAAAGAGTCGGACATGACTGAGTGACTAATATTTTTTGTATTTTACCAGAAAATACTCCTGTTAGTTTTTATTCCAGTTGAACTGAAATAAGGAATCAACCTTTAGCCTAGTTCCTAAGAGAGGTACTTTAAACTTGAAAGAATATGTATCTTATATGTAGCTGACCATCATAATACAGAGTTATTTAAACTTCTTGACCCCTGCAATTAAAGTTATTTTTATAAACCAAAAATTTCAATGAGGTTAATTTTTTAAATATTTTTTAGGAATTAACAGTTTGTATCTATTTAAAATGTATAACCTTTAAACGTGTGCATGTGTCCTTTTAAAATTCCAGAATAATAGAATAATACTTATTATTATACCTTCCCACTTACATGTATTTTATTAAAAGAAATTATAGATAGGTGGTGATGACCATGGCTTTCCAGGTGGTGCAATGATAAAGAATCTGCCTGCCAATGCAGGAGATGCAGGTTGATCCCTGGGTTGGAAAGATTCCCTGAAGTAGGGAATGGCAACCCACTCCAGTACTCTTGCCTAAAAAATTCCTTGGACAGAGTAGCCTGACAGGCTACAGCCCATGGAGTTGCAAAGAGCTGGACACGACTGAGCACACACATGTGGTAATGACCTTAGGGAGACAAGTAGGAAAGAGATGAAGGATGTTTTTTTTTTATTTCTGTAAGGTAATAAATGTGTTTTGGTGCTGGAAAATAGGACATGCTCAATAAATAGTTGACTACACAGCAGATAGTATTTTAATTGTTTTTCTAAGTGGATGGTGATTATTTGGGGTCATATTTCACTTAGTTTTTTAGGCTAATAAAATAGTATTATATGAATGTGTGTCACCTAATGATAAAAAAGTTGATCAGAGATGTCCTTATAACCTTGGGGAAAATCCTTAACATTTTTGTATAAATTATGTACATATAATTAATAAAGTTGATATATTATTTAAAAAAAAATAGAAGGATATGCTGAATTTTATGTAGTGGTTTCATTCAATATAATTTCCTGGACTCCTGAATTCTATGCCAAGTTAAAGAAAAAAAAACGCTTGTGTGAAGAAGAGATATAATTTGAACTAATTCTTTACAGATTGAATAAGGTATTTTGGTAAGTGAAATAGAAATGAATTCAGGATATGTGGAAGAGCATATTCAAAGGCATGGAGGCATAAGAGCAGATAAGGACTGTCAACAGGTTGCTTTGGTTAGAGTGAAGAATCACTTTGGCATAGTGGGAAGAGGTTAAGCTGGAAAAATTGGTAAAATCTCCTATCTTTGGGATACTGGTTGATTGTACATTATAGTGTTAAGTGATTCTGACTTTAATGTGTTTGAAATCCTTTGCAAACTGTCTACTGCCTAGCACATATAGTCCAAGTTTCATATAGTTGCTCCTTGTAATCAAGTCTCAGCTTTCCTTTCTGGTGTCATTTACCACTTTTCCTGACATATTATGCTCCAATGATTCTCAAATATTTTATATTTACATATGCTATTCTCTTTATCTCTATTCAGCATTTGGATCATTACTTCTTGTGCCTCAGTTGTCTCATCTGTAAAATAGGGGCAGAAAGTACCTCATAGAATTGTTGTGGGGATTAAATAAAATAGTTACAGAACTTGTTTGGAACAATGCCTAACATGTTAAGCCCTCAGTAAATGATAGCTATTATATTATTGTAACTTTTATTATTACATATAATAATTTTTCCTCTTGCCCAGTTGGGGAACTCCTATACATTCTTTAAAACCCGGTCTGGAAATTACCTCCTCCAGGAAGGTTTTCTGATCATGCAACTTTAATTTCCTCCAGATAGAATTAATAACTTCTTCTGTCAATTCAGTTCAGTTCAGTTGCTCAGTCGTGTCCAACTCTTTGCGACCCCATGGGCTGCAGCACACCAGGCCTCCCTGTCCATCACCAACTCCCAGAGTTTACTCAAACTCATGTCCATTGAGTCGGTGTTGCCATCCAACCATCTCATCCTCTGTCGTCTCTTCTTCTCCTGCCTTCGGTCTTTCCCAGCATCAGGGTCTTTTCAGATGAGTAAGTTCTTCGAATCAGGTGGCCAAAGTGTTGGAGTTTCAGCTTCAACATCAGTCCTTCCAATGAATATTCAGGACTGATTTCCTTTAGGATGGACTGGTTGGATCTCCCTTCAGTCAAGGTACTCTCAAGAGTCTTCTCCAACATCACAGTTCAAAAGCATCAATTCTTTGGCGCTCAGCTTTCTTTATAGTCCAACTCTCACATCCATACATGACTACTGGAAAAACCGTAGCCTTTACTAGATGGACGTTATTTTGATTCTTGTGTTTTACATAATGTATTATGTGGGAGTTATTTTTGGCAGGGGTTGGGGATGTTATGGAAGTAGTGAAAAAGTTTGTTTAAGAAAGAAGTCATTTGAGAGAAGCAACTGTCAGGGTAAATGGGGCCTTGGAGAGATAAAGTAAGATCTTTAGGACATTGCTAATTCCTCTCCCCTCCAGTTCCCCACAGCTTTAGTTACTTTGTCAAAGTCAGATTTATGTCCTTTAGAATTTGACACTAGGTCAAGGTTGGCCATGAATTAGTCCAGTGATATTTCAATTACACTAGTATTGTTTGCCATCCTTCAAGGTGCACTCCTCATGCTTTAACTCTGACGCTTGCCCGAAAGTCATTCATCCAACAAATATTTGAGTAACCTACCCTCTCTCTCTGCTGAATAGCCTGTTTTCCAAGGTCACTTTCTAAACTTTTGTGGTGATTTGACACTTCAGCACTACAATTTGCCTCTCCTTTTTTTTTTCCCGTTCATCCCAATCCTTTTTATCCACTTCATTCAAAGTTATATCTTGTGCTCAAGTGCTTGACTATTTTTCCTCCTTTAATGACACATACACACACTAACAATGTATGGCACGAAGTAGATGCTTAACAAATGCTTATTGAATGAGTGTCCTGTGCATTTCAGTGACATCACATCCTGTGTGCCTGGGTGTCAGTCTGCACTCATCTCCAGGAAGCCCGGAGGTCGCAGGGTTTAAGTCACTGTTTATAAGGTGCATCGAATATCTCAAACACAGGCTCAGGTTGCAGACTTCCCACAAGAAGCGCAGCCATCCGGAGAGCTGGCTTTCCTCTTTTGGTTCAGAGACTCCGGCTGGGGGCCCAAACCCACTGCCTGGTAGGCGCCGGCGTTCCGCAACTCTGGGAATAGAACGTGCGAGGGCGGGAGCAGGCCGCTCACTTATCGCGGTGTTTCCTCCCTCCTGCCTCCCGGGGGAGTTCTCGCGAGAGAAGCCAGGGGAAGATGGCCGTGCCCTGTTTTTCGGAGTGAGGCAGTGGCGGCGGCTGCGGCGGTGGGGACGGGAATCCTAGTGTCGTGGGCACTTGAGCTGTAGCTCCCCCCAGCGAGCGCGCGTCCCTTCGTGCCTAGGCTAGAGCCGGCTCTTCTTCCTCCGGGAGATGCGTTTGTCCCGGGCTCGGGGGCGCTCTGGGAGTTCATGCTGCGCTGGAGTATCCTGGCCACCGCTCTAATCGCCTTGTGCCGCCGCAGCGCCAGTTTCGTCGCCAGCGGTGAGCCTCCTGGATTCCTTCTCTGCCCGTGGCGGCGATGACCGGGGAGAAGATCCGCTCATTGCGGAGGGACCACAAGCCCAGCAAAGAAGAGGGGGACCTGCTGGAGCCTGGGGATGAGGAAGCGGCGGCTGCCCTCGGCGGCACCTTTACCGGAGGCAGGATTGGCACAGGCGGCAGCAGCAAGAGCGGTAGAGCCTGTCATAAGATCTTCAGTAACCATCACCACCGGCTACAGCTGAAGACAGCTCCGGCCTCCTCCAATCCCCCCGGCGCCCCGGCCCTGCCGCTGCACAATTCATCCGCGACTCCCATCTCCCAGTCCCCGGCTCTTTTAGCTGGCACCAACCCCATTGCTGTCGTCGCAGGTGGAGGCAATTGCCCTGCACACTACCCGGTGCACGAGTGCGTCTTCAAGGGGGATGTGAGGAGACTGTCCTCTCTCATCCGCACGCACAATATCGGGCAGAAAGATAATCACGGTGAGGAGTGCTCGCCCCTGTCCACCTTTCCTTCCCAGAGCCTAGGTTGCGGCTCCTCAGGCCTCTCAAATCCTAGCCGTCTATAAATCCTAGGCTTCTATCGGACTCTTCTTTTCTCTCCTTTGCCCATCATCCGAGCCAAATGCCCGTAAATCATGTAGTAGCATGCCAGTGGTCTGGGGATTGGTTCTTGTGGGTGCAAAGGAATGCTTCTTCCTGGCCTTCTTCAAACTATTAGAAGCCGTTTTATCTTGGAGTCAGGGCTTTAGTTGATTCTCGACAATAAGAAATTTTAGACTGCCTCTCATCCAGCCTGGTCGTCATCCTTGTTTATTGAATTGTATCTTCTTTTTCTACCCCCATCCACCCTTGGGATCTTGAATTTTGAACATATAAATTGCCCACCTCCCTTTATCGTCCAGGTACAGAACCCAACCTGGCTGCAACTGGTTATGATTTCTACAGCCATTAGGCTGTCTCTCTCTTTTTCCTTCTGCTTTTAGGAAGCTTAGTTTGATACAAAGTGTTTACACTTTTGCAGGTGTTTTGATTTCTGAAAGCAACAGTACCAGTTTGTTGGCATTTGATACCTAGAGCAAGTAGTGACTTCCAAGTGGCTAAGATGTTGTTAAAGCAGAGCTTAGAGTTTTACACTTATTTCACATAGATAATTGCTGATAGTAATTAAAACATTACTTGATGACCTGTGATGAAAAATAGTACTATGATTTTTCATAGTAACTTCCTCATATCCTACATGACAACATGTAGTGTCATTTGTTATTCAAGGACTGTATTTCTACTTTTTGCTTTAACTTATTGGCTGATTTTTTTTGTTTCTTCTAAAAACATAATGTGATTGAGTTGACTGTGATAATGTGATTATCAGTTGACTGTCATAGTGTGATTGACTTTATTTTACTGTGACTTAAGCCACATTAAAATAAAGCTAATGTAAACACTGATCCTTTCAGCATTTAATAGATAGGCTGTTTTAAACTGGGTACTTGGCAAATATTGTTAATAGCTCAGCTTTTAACCGAACATGAGAATTGTATGCATTCAATTAGAACACACTCAATTCTGTGCTCAAAATAGTATAACACATTAATGAAATACATGCCTGTTGAATAAGCTTCCTTAATTCCACTGGACTCTAGGCTTCTTATCTACAATTAGGGCAAAAACAGAGGTTAAAAAAAAAGAGTAAGATTTCCACTGTTTGTATAATTCTCTGACAAATGCATTTGTATTCTGAATTTACAATATTGTAATATTACTGTCATTTATTAAAAATCAACCCCCCCAAAATGTTCCTAAAAGCTGCACCCAGTTTTTCATTCTTAAGTTTATTTAATTACTTTACTGTTGTTGTAACAGCATCATATTGTTTGTTGATAGTAATTATATTTTAACCCTTTTGGAAACGGTTTTTAGTGTGAGATCTATTGTAGCTTTGAATGTTTAGAATGTTTTTCAGATTTGATCTTCATACAGCTATACAAAAGGTTTATCTTATGGCCATTGCCATTTAAGGGTTCCATTACATTGAAATATACCTGGAAACAGTTGAAACTTTGTTTTTGAGGGATGATTCCCTTTGAAAGAAGTGAGAGGTGACTATGACTAAGTATGATAGTATGATGTTAGAACTGATTTTCTTGATTGATCACAGAAGGTACTGAATTGCAGGATTATTGAGCTTGCATGTCTGTCATCTATCAGATGAAAGCTGGTTTGTTAAAGTACAAATTCTGCTCAAAGTAATAGCAAAGTAATTAGAATCCTAAATACCTTTAAACTCTTTTCCATAGCCTGCTGAAATTCTTTTTAAAAATCAGTTAAATATACTAAATGCTTGCATTGTATTTAGCTGCCCTTTGTTGATTTTTTTTGATTGAAGTGTAGTTGACTTACAGTGTTTCAGGTTACAGCAGAGTGATTCAGTTTTATATGTATATATACGCATACGTATTTTAGATGTTCTTCAGATTCTTTCCTGTTTTAGATTATTACAAGATATTGAATATTGAATATAGTTCCCTGTGCTTTACAGTTCAGTTTAGTTCAGTCACTCAGTCGTGTCCGACTCTCTGCAACACTGTGGATTGTAGCACGCTAGGCTTCCCTGTCCATCACCAACTCGTGGAGCTTGCTCAAACTCATGTCCATCAAGTTGGTGATGCCATCCAACCATCTTATCCTCTGTCGTCCCCTTCTCCTGCCTTCAGTCTTTCCCACAATCAGGGGAAAGTGCTATACAGTAGGTCCTTGTTATCTGTTTCATATGTAGTAGTGTGCATCTGTTTATCCAGTTTTTAGCCCCCGCCTTCCCCTTTGGTGATCATAATTTTTTTTATGTCTGTGAGTCTATTTCTGTTTTGTCAGTAAGTTCATTTGTATCACTTTTTGTCTATTTGAGTTCATTAATTTTTGGCTGCACTAGGTCTTCATTGCTGTGCCCAGGCTTCTCATTGTAGTGGCTTCTTTTGTTATGAAGTACAGGCTCTAGAGCACTGGCTCAATAGTTGTGGTACATGGGCTTAGTTGCCCTGAGGAGTGTAGAATCTTCCTGGACCAGGGATTGAGCCCATGTTCCCTACATTGGCAGGTGGAGTCTTAATCGCTGGAGCACTAGGGAGGTGCATATCACTTTTTCAGATTCCCCATATAAGAGTTGTCTTAAGATACTTGTCTTTCTCTGATTTATTTCACTTAGACTGATAATCTCTAGGGTCATCTATGTTGCTGCAAATGTCTTTATTTCAGTCTTTTTTATGGCTTGGTAATATTCCATTGTCTATATATACACCACATCTTCTTTATTCATTTATCTATCCATGGACATTTAAATTATTTCCATGTCTTGGTTATTGTAAATCATGCTGTGCACTTTGCGGTGCATTTGTCTTCAAATTAGAGTTTTTGTCTTTTCTGGGTATACGCCCAGGAGTGGGATTGTTGGATCCCTCTGTTCACTTTAGTTTCTTTACGGGCCCTCCATACAGTTCCTCTTAATGGCTGCACCGATTTACATTCCTGCCAGCAGTGACATTGTGGATATTTTTCATGAATATAACCAGTGTTTCACATACTGGTGGGAAGTGTAATTGTTGTTTTCTGCAATATATAGATACATTCTTGTCTCCTGCAGTGAAGACTCCTAGAAAGAGTAGCTTCTATTTAACATTGTTCTTGTTTAGTTGCTAAGTCATGTCTAACTTTTTGTGACCCCATGGCCTGTAACCCACCAGGCTCCTCTGTCCATTTGATTTTCCAGGCAAGAATACTGAGTGGGTTGCCATTTTCTTCTCCAGGGGATCTTCCCGACCCAGGGATCAAACCTATGTTTCCTGTTCCACAGGTGGACTCTTTATCACTGAGCCTCCTGGGAAGCCCATTTCTGTTTAATATGCTACTTCAATCTTTTCGCTTATAGCTGCATAATTTCCCTACTATGTTTACATTACTTTTGAGAGTTTACTAACCTGGATATTTTGTTAATTTTTGGGGGAATATTTTTCTTATCAAATTACAGAAGATAAAGGCATTTTAAGTTGCCCAACAAAAACAAGCTATGTATTACATTTGGATTGTTAAAACATGATAAATACATAGCAGAATCATCTACTCCTTCAGGTGCATAGCAGAGCCATACAATTATACCATATCATGTGACATAGTTGTATGTTCACTTGACATTCCTTCCATAATATAATGATGGTCATGATCATAGTTTATTGAACATGTCAGCACTATGCTAAGTGTTTACACACATTATCACATTTAATTCTCACAATAACCCTACAAAGCAGATAGTTTTATTCTTGTTTTAAAGGAGGAAACTGAAGCCTCAAGGCACAAGGAAACTTTGCCAAAGTTGCATACTTAGTATAAGTTCCAAAATGGGGAACTGAACTAACAGTGAGGGCTTCAAAGACTGTGATCAGCCTCTGTAAATTTTCTGTTAATCAGAACCCACTAATTTGCAAAGAAGTCAGTTTTAATAATGTGTATGTGGCATTTTATGGTAAAGTTCTTTGATATATATTTTCTCATTTAGTACCTATAGAAAGATAATGCTATTAAACAGCTCTCAGAGATTTCCTGTGCAGCCCAGATCTCTCACTATTGTTTTTTTTTTCTTCTTCACCTAATGGCACAGATAAATATGCTGCCTTGTCCACATGATAGCCCTTTAGATACTTGACAAGCAAGAGCTATCATGTTCTTCCTATCTTTATGTTAAACATTCTTAACTTCTGTATCCATTCTTCATAAGATGTGATTTACAAAGATCTAAGAATGGTGCCTGAAACCTAGTGAATACTATAAAACTGTATTAAGTAAATGAAGATCTTATTCATCTTTTAGTGAAACTCTAGTTACTTAGTCTTTCCTTTGAGGATGGAAAGAACCAACCTTAATGTTGAAGTTATAGTAGCCTCATAAACAAGACAGAGATTATGTTTATTGCTCTAAGTGATACACATTTAGTAATGTGCATTACTAAAGAGCACACATTAAATAATACAGTGAAATAATATGTGGATTTTTTAAAATGTTGTTTATTCTCAAGTGGTTGTCTTTCTATTCTAATGTCTTGTGCTTTTTTTAAAACCTCAAAACAGAACTTTACATTTATTAATATTTATCTTGTTAGTCTTGATCCTTTATTCTATTTATCTTGGACGCTTATTGAATTCTACAGATAGTAGATAGTGCATGGTCAACCATGTCTGACTTTTTGTGACCCCATGGACTGTAGCCCTCCAGGCTCCTCTGTCCATGGAATTTTCCAGGCAGGAATACTGGAGTGGGTTGTCATTTCCTACTTCATGGGATCTTTTCAACCCAGGGATGGAACCTGCATCTCTTGTGTCTCCTGCATTGACAGGCAGATTTGCCACTGTGACACTCTTATTGGATCCTAATTTGATCACTGTTAGCTCATTATTCATTAGCTCTTTCAGTTTGTAGTGATCTTGGAATTGAAACAC